GATGACTTGTGGGATGATTGTGTGGGATGACTATGTGGGATGACTGTGTGGGATGACTGTGGGATGACTGTGGGATGATTGTGTGGGATGACTTGTGGGATGATTGTGTGGGATGACTGTGTGGGATGACTGTGTGGGATGACTGTGTGGGATGACTGTGTGGGATGACTGTGTGGGATGACTTGTGAGAAGATTGTGTGGGATGACTTTGTGGGATGACTGTGTGGGATGACTGTGTGGGATGACTGTGTGGGATGACTGTGTGGAATAACTGTGTGGGATGACTGTGTGGGATGACTGTGTTGGATGACTATGAGAAGATTGTGTGGGATGACTGTGGGATGACTGTGTGGGATGACTTGTGGGATGACTGTGTGGGATGACTATGTGGGATGACTTGTGGGATGACTGTGTGGGATGACTTGTGGGATGACCGTGTGGGATGACTATGTGGGATGACCGTGTGGGATGACCGTGTGGGATGACCGTGTGGGATGACCGTGTGGGATGACCGTGTGGGATGACTTGTGGGATGACTGTGTGGGATGATTGTGTGGGATGACTGTGTGGGATGACTGTGTGGGATGACTGTGTGGGATGACTGTGTGGGATGACTGTGTGGGATGACTGTGTGGGATGACCGTGTGGGATGACCGTGTGGGATGACTGTGTGGGATGACTGTGGGATGACTGTGTGGGATGACTGTGGGATGACCGTGTGGGATGACCGTGTGGGATGACCGTGTGGGATGACCGTGTGGGATGACCGTGTGGGATGACCGTGTGGGATGACTTTTTAGCTCCGTATTAATGGTGCAACTTTTACAACTGGAGGATATTTTAAGTCATCTAACAGTAAACTCTTGATTAGAATCACCACCTTCATTGACTTTCTCTGGATGCCATCCTGTTGTCCAACCCAGGGAAAAGGTCACATCTGGAAAGAAGGATGTCACGGTGTCCAGAAAGGCTCTGGCGTCCACGACCTTGCTGCTTCCGTTTGGCCCAGGAAGGATGTCAGCATTCATCCACACAGGACGCTGCAGGTGCTGCCTTACATTCTGCAGGAACAGCATGGATGCTCTGACGGCCGCCAGACTGAAAAAGAGTTTGTGACCAATGAATCGTCCAGCACGGAGATTCATTGTACAGAAGGTCTAACTGTTCTCCAACTCAAAACACTAATATAAAACGTCATATGGGAAGAGAGGGGAAGACTAACCCACACAATTTACCTCAAAATATTTATGTTTCTTTTTCGTGAAAGGAACTTATAGATTTTACAGCAATATCAATAATGCTAGCAGCTATGAACCAAACAGGGGGCTCCAAACTCCATATTCAGGTCACTAAGTGTGCAATGATGTAAGAAAAGAGATACATGTTTGTTTTCCATTCACACAGGGAATAGCAGTCACAGCTGGGCTGTTCTGAGAGGGGTCCACGCCACATCTCAGCCTTTGATAAGAGCAACTCTGACACTTGAAATCCCACAGGAGACGAGGTCTCTTTTCCTTCATGCATGATTGGGTGAGTTTGGAGACATGAACATATTTCATAAAGTGCCTGGAAAGCATAAAGATACATTTCCTAACACGAATGCCAGCCTGGTTCTCCTGTGCTGCGAGATGTTTCAGTTCCACGTCAACGGTGGCTTGTCTTCTCTCCCGCAACTGCTGCGCTCACAGGCTCAGGGCAGCTTTCGTTGTTGTTCTGACGTGTTTATCTGTTGGCTTTTGAGACAAGGTCTCACTACTTAGCCCAGGCTGGCCTGGAACTCACTCAGTAGACCAGGCTGGCCTCCAACTTGGAAATTTGCCTGCCTCTGCCTCCAAGCCCTGGGATTAAAGGTGTGTGATACTATGCCCAGCTTGCAAAACAGTAAGTTTAGTATATCATTTTTACTTGTGTGTGTGTGTGTGTGTGTGTGTGTGTGTCTTATTGTTCTCAAATACACAGACAGACAGACAGACAGACAGACAGACAGACAGACAGACACACACACACACACACACACACACACACCAACTTAACTGGAAAACCTCACTACTTCTAAAGGTTCTGTTAACCTTTAAGAGAAACCCTTCTGAACCTTTAGAAAGGTTCACCAAGAGAAACAGGTTCTGTGCTACTGTGATGGAGGCTGAGAACCCTGGGGATGGGAGAGACATTTGTTCTTCCTGAGGATGGCAGTGCCCATCTGTGTTCTCTCCTGTGCCTCCTACTTTAAGGAGAGAAATTTTATTAAATTGTGTGCTAAAGCCAGAGACATGTGGCACTCGGCCTCCAGTCTCCTTTACCTTGTATATTATCCCCACTGTCTTTGAAACAGACATCCTAGATTTTAGTGGATTAATAAAGTAAGTCTTAGGCAGGACCTTGTAGATTCTAATTTAGATACTTTTATTTCTCTGTGATGCTTCCTGCCTTCTATTACATTGATGCCTGTGAAAAACTTCAATTCTAAAATCCACAGGGAACCACAGAAGACCCCAAATCAGCAGAAAATCCAAGGAAAAAAGAGCAAAACTAGCTGGGCATGGTGACCTTTGATCCCAGCACTCGGGAGGCAGAGGTAGCTAGGTCTCTGAGTTCAAGGCCAGCCTGGTCTACAGAGTGAGTTTTAGGACAGTCAGGACTACACAGAGAAACCCTGTCTGGAGAAACAAAACAAAATAAAACAGCAAAGCTAGATGCACCACAACACCTGATTTCAATGCATATAAACCAAGCATGGTAGCACATGCCTGTAATGCCAGCACTCGAGAGTCTGGGGGGTGGGGTGCCATGACTATGTAAAGAGTTCAAGGTTAGAGTTCAAGATCTTAACTCAAAAAACAAACTAAACAAACAAACAGACAACAACAGCAAAACCCTACAAAGCTATAGTAATACAGCAGCATACACTTAAGGTCAGACTCTGAACTGCTCGAGAGACTCATGCTGAGTCCTCAGCTCCCAGCCTGTGGCGTTATTTTAGAGGCTATCTCGAGGCTTTAGGCTGCTAGGAGTAGATTACAAGAGCAGACCTGTGAGGGCTCTCCCTGCACCTGCTCACAGGTGGCTTCTTGGTCTGTGCCATGTGAATGGGTTCATCTCCCAGGAACACTGCCCCACACAGCATCCATCCTCTTCAGCAAGGCGGGCTGAGACACCTCCAGAACTGGGAGCCAAGGTCTGACAGACATTTCTGTCACACAGTTTGGTCACAGTGACGCAGAAGTAAACTGATAAAGACTGAGCATCTGACCTTATCCGGCCTTCTTCGGAATTTCATTTACAAACTGAAGGCAACAGAATGAAAGCCATCCCTGATATTATAAGTAATTTAAAGTTGTATTTTAGAGGAAAATCTTTTAAAACCCCAGAGTCAGTTAAAACTCTAGATAAAATTTAAGCATCACTATATTACTAAGTGATAATTACAGCACCATATTATAATCATGTATTATCATTTGTATGTTAGATAAAATAACCCGGAAGCACAAAACAAGATCCACTAAAATACCATTCAGCTCCGCTAACAGAGTTCCGTGGTTTGCTTAAGAACTCAGGCTGGCTACGTGGCTCATCTGGGAAAGGTGCTGGCTGCCAAGTCTGATGACCCGATCTGACATCTAGGGTGCACCGTGTGGAAGGAGGGGACTGACTTCTGCAAGTGTCCTCTGACCCCCACAGG